CAAAGTTTGACATCATAATATGATACAAAGGGAAAAGATTTTTGTTCAGGATGTACGTCTTACGAGGGAATGTATGCGTGATTTTTTTCATATATTTAATTCCTAAGGAAGAGTCAAAAAACCGATTTTAAAATGATACTGACCAATCTAAAACCTAAAGTTGTTGTACGTGTATTGTTTGTTTATCACTTCGAAAGTTGATGAACTAGAACACGAGTGATCACTGGGAAAAAATTGCCAACAAATTTTGATAGAAAATTACATTTGAGACACTATTTCTCAACAAGGGTTTAAACGCGCATCTTTGCGCATCCACAGAAGATAGATGATAACATGCTCTACCAAATAACATATTAAAACTTGAATTAAAGCTTCGGGAAAATCCGAGGAAATAACTGCATTATTGACCAATGGTTATTTTTGGATGTGGGTGTAAGCATCATAAAAGAGGCACTCCCATCCATACTCACACTCCACACCCACACCCACACATCCTTATACAAAAACCTTTTCCTTTCCTGATCAATCAAGAATGTGTAAAGAATAGGTCCAAAACACATCGACTACAGTTAGATTTATTTAATCATAATTTATTCGTATAGAAATATTCTCACTGTTATTCCTATAGTTTTTTTTTCTTCATTATCTTTTTTGAAAAAAAATTTAACGATACCTCCTAGTAGTATCATCAAGATTTCACGAACACTTCATATGATTCTTCGCTGACTTTCTTAATTATTTTTAATAATAGAAGAATAATTTTCTGTTCGAAATCAAATTAACAAATCAGATATTGTAGTAGGTTTCTTTTTTATAAATCGGTAACAGAACACGTTACTTTCTTTAAAAGTATACTTAGAAAAAAATAGTATTCTATAATAATTATTCTAACAAGCAGCCGTGACCGGTTTCGTCCTTGCTTAAGAAACTCATCAGACGGCATGTCCAAATTCATCATTATCAATTAATGATAATAACGAAACTGTTTAATCTACCCCTATCAAAGACACAGGAGACGCAGGGTGTGGGTGTCGGTGTGGATGGGTGTGGGATGTGGATGTGGTTGTGAGTGTGAGTGTGGTTGTGGGTGTGGGTGAGGACTGTGGTTGTGGGCGTGGAGTGTGGGGTGTGGATGTAGGCGTGACCGGTTCTCGTTACTTGATCCACCAGCATCCACACCCAAACCATTTTTGAAACTGGGTGTCCGATAGGATGGAGAGTCAATTAAAACCGGGTAGAGACGGGAAGTAAAGGACTAAAACAAGTGAGTTTTATCTGGAAGTCTTTTATGAATGTCGATATAATGAAAAATCTATTAATGCTAAAGAATATTTAAACCATTTTCTGTGTTATTTTCGGAAAATGAAGAACACATTTTTGAAATGGGGAAGCATCTTGATTGAAACGATTATATAAAAATGATTTTACTGCTCTCATTTTATCTATTGTATATAGTGTACATTAATGAAACGGATCAGCTGGATGTTAAATTAATCGTTCTGTATGATAAGCATCATATGCTATTTCAAAATAATCAAATACTCAAGCTTTGTATTCTTGAAAAAGAAATTTCTCCATATATGACGATTGAGATAGATTTATTCAAAAATTATATAGAAAATGTCAATGAAGATGGCCCGTAGAATTTTCAAAAGAAAATAGTATTCTATATTCGATTAAACAAAGATAAAGGTTCTTATTAGTTACTAGAATGTATGAATGCTTCAAGATTATTTCTACCAAAAAAAAAGATCTATTTAGAAAAATAACATAGAAATATAATGAGAACATTTTATGGTAGGACTAATAAAAATTATTATTAAAAAGTTTAAATCATAGCGGTCGGCTCAGGTGTACTTATTTGGTACCACTTCTGAATAAAAAAGTAGCATTTTTTTTATAATGTTGCTTCAAACAAGTGATTATACCTAAATAGCATTATGAACTCCTATTTGATGACTGTTCTATTATCTATAAAAGTTAAGAAAACAATTGTAAATTTTGATTATTTCAAAAAAAAGGGTGTGGGTTTGAAGGATATAAATGTGGAAAGTGTAGGTGTAGGTGCATAAAAGATTAACATCCACGTCCTAAGTCTCATATTAACCTAGTTCACCATCGATCATTGGTGGCATATCGCTTGTATCAATCACTTTGACATATCGTCCCATAAACAATGTTGTCTGTTTGTATCGAATAGCATAGAGAAATGGTTTATTACAGATAAAATTCACATCCGATCGTGTAGCAGTTGCTAACATGATTCGTACAATAGACGTAGCCGCTATCAATAGAGAATGTAAATTGTCAAAGAAAAACAAGAAATGACAAATGATACTTACCAGCTCGTACACCTTTCTCATCAACAATGACATAAGTTCTACAATAAGTTGAAATATTGATCACATTCAATTTGATAAATGAACATACTTGTGAATCAAATTGGATAGATATATCTTTTTCTTCGTTGATAGTCCTTTCAAATTGGCCTTGTTCGAGTTGAATATATCGTTTATTTTCATTTTTGTCTTTAATACAGTTTCTAGTTTACTTTCGAATTCGAATTTCCATTTTGGTATCCAAATATATATGTTCTTATTATTAGTAGTCGGTGTATTGAGTAATGCCGAAGTAAGATTTGATTCAACTTGAGATAATTTAACATCTTTATTTGGTAGAATAATAGTAAAGGTGAAATCCTTGTTTTCAAATGGTAAATGAATCATTCGAGCACCAATTTTCGATGTTAAATCAACATAAGGAAATAAACCATTTTTCATCATTAAGGTAAGTTTTTTCTCTTGTGGTGGACCTGTATCAGGAAAGAATGTGTTGCCATCTCTGGTGTTTTGTCCTTGAAATTCGTTTTGCCATTTTGCTAAAAAAGATCAAGTGAAAAAAATATTTGAGGAAAAGAAAAATCTACCATCAAATACCAGACAATTGATTATTAGAAGAGCATTCTGTGTTAATTTATCTTTAGCTAGATCATTTTTGTCTAGTGCTTTCTTAATATGACCGTCCGTTTGATTAGACACCCATGCGTTGATATCATTGATAGCAGGTGTGACATTTTTTGCATTAAGATCAGCGGATACTAGAGTAATATTATAAAGCTTTTGCAATCGTTGTTTGAAGGCGGGTAGAATCGGAAATTTCTCATCTGGATAGAGTCGATTGGCTAATTTGATTTCAGGCAGACGAGTAATGTCCATTAACTGTTTAACCGATGGATCCAGTTTGTCACGAGATGAAATTTGTAGAAGATCTAGAAGTTCTTTCTCTGTTTTGCCTCGTGCACCTCCAGTAACCATAGAAAGAGCGAGACTGATCGAGTAAGGTGACAGAAATATATTGTCATCTGGTTTTGTGGCGGTTACACTCTTGTATAAATTCAAATGGAAGTCTTCAATATTTTTCTTCGATACAGCTGTTGGTTTACTTTCAGCATTTGAGAGTACCAAAGCGATCACAAGTATAAGACGAGACATCGGTAGAAATGTCACAAGAAGCATTGCGACAACGATATATATAGAAACGGACAATCAATGAGAACGTTGATAGTGTGCAAGGAAGAAGCGAATGCACTCGTTTACATTCTCTATTTTTTCATCTCAATATGTACTGGTAAGCTGGTATTAATAGTCTACCCAGTAAGAGAGAGACAGAGGATGGTAAGATAGATGTATACCACAGAAAAAAATGTACTAACAAAAAAAGAAAGCAATTGATAGATGAGGACGATGTATTTATTATCAGTTCGATGAGTTGCAATGTCGACGCAAACATACATTTAACATGCAAATAGCATCAACAACTTTATTCGACGTTTTAATAAGTAGAGAAACAATAGTTTTGACAGTATCTCTTAGTGATTATTAACGTAGAATCCTTAGACAGTTTTCTGTATCCATTATATTCTAAAATTAGGAAGATAATCATACGTCTACGCTGATACGCTTTTAATCAAGAAGATTTCTAATATTTTTTGTCTAAGATTGATGCACTTATATTTTTTTTTGAAGCCAATTGAACTGATCAACATGGAAAATGAAGACAGAGGAACAGATTGATAAACTGATAGTTTTTGCTAGAGTAAGAGTCTGTAATAGACATGAGTAGCTCTTGATCGTAATCGCCAATACCGATTCCAAAAAGTGTTGTCTTTGCTGTTCCATCTTGTAAAATCGTCGATCTGAGAAGTAGATGTGCTCCATCATTAATTGATTAGTCACTTGTATAAGTCTTCCTCGTAGCATTTAAACGTTTCCTAATTACTGTTGATGGTACACGACAACTAGTAAACATTTCGATGTTGCTGGTGGCAATGGAGCACTTCACTCTCAAATTCAATTCTTCTGTTGACATGGAAATAAAAATCAACAATTCGTATTATGAGCAAATATTTGGATGTGCCCCATAGCCAAATGGTTAACAACAATCCGTTACAATTGTTCCGATGTCATAATCAAGCAAGTCAACGTTTCATATTGATACCTCTGTGATGTAAGATAGTTATTATTTCTTTTGAGTTATTGTTCATCCCAAATAACTAAGTTTATATAATTATATTGTTGAAGGCTGTGAGTGTAGATGTGGATGTAGTCGTTTTGTTTATCAGAGTCACACCTGCGCTCATGGATTACGAACTGTGATCCATGGATAAAATCTTTAATAAAACACAAAAATCTCAAGAGATGTCTCACATTATTACGCTAAAGTATAGAACAAAGGAAAAACCAAATTATTATATATCACGTCCAAAAAGAAAACTGGTTTTCTTCAATAAAATGCCGTTGGTTGTTTTCTTCTTTCATCCACAACTGCATCACCATTAATTATCGTACCTACGTCTAATTCTATGCCTCATGAAGGCGAATGTGGATATGGATATAGGTATTGATTTTACTCACATTCTCGCCTTCTGCAGACGAATTTCGAAAGAAGTCTTTTTATTTATACTCATTAATTTTTGACGTGTACGTAACGCTTCTTCGTAATTTGTTGTCCGAAATATTAATGATCTTTCATGCATTTGTTTGTGGTACACGACTTGATCATAAAAGGTTCTCTGATCACTAATATCTAATATTGAAAGAAGAAGAGTTCAATAAACCAATTGAATCGAAGTTAATTCATTTGTTTTTTGGCGGCTAACAAAACTGCATCTGCTAAGAAAAATCCTTCACTTTATATCATATCCTCCATGAAAAAATAATAATTAGGGATAGAAGACACTGCTATTTTTGTTATAGACTACTGTCTCAAGTTTGAATCAACCAGAAAGTTTTGTTCTGATTTGAATGATTATTTCAATAATTCTTTTTGATTGATAAAAAATTGTAAGTCCGCTCGTTGTCGTTCTACTCTAGAAACACATTCCTACTTTCCTATCATACATCAATGAAATGAAGATAAGTTTTTAAAAAGTAAGAAGTTCGTTTCATTTTCTTCCAAAATGATATACTTCTATATTTTTTTGTTGTTATATTTATTCAAATAGAACTTCTCATGCACCTTTATTCTTCCTGTTCAAAAGAATATTACAAATGGATTTAATTTAATTGTCACTATATGTGTCTTGTTTAACATGTGCGATAACAATGTCAAATAAATGTTTGAATTTAATGTGTTGTATATTTACGCTGAATTTTTGGTAACGGACGATATTTTGTAGTTGTATGGATTTTATTCATTTTTTTTAATTTCAAAAGTTTTCTGTTTTTCTTCTCAGTCGATAATATACGGCGAAGTAGTATCCATATGCCGTATCGTCTATCAAGGAATCTTTCGGTTTCATCCATAAACTGATTATGTAAATTGTCCAATACTGTGTTTCGTATTTTATCGAGCACAGATTCATATTCATACAATTTGTTTAGAGTCCGTTCACATGTTAATGCTTCATTCTGTTTTCTCTTCAATGTTGGTTCTCCTACTCTCCAGATAGCTTTGCGCAGTGAATAACTCTGTGTTTCGTCTTGGATTAATGCATTAAGATTTCGTTCATATGCTTGTATTTTTTTCGTTACTTCAGCATATTTTTGTTCTAGTTTCACCGTCAATTCACATATTTCACATAATATGCTTTCTTGTATTGCAACTTATACGGTATTTCTGTTCAATATATCGTCTAAGATCATTTTATACTGTAGTAGATCAAAATTATCAAACTTATGATCAGGTGTTTTCGCTGATACTTGCTCCAATACTGTACTCAATAAACATTTGTACATATATTTTAATACTTTATTACAAATTGGTTCCAAATCTTCATCTCTATAATGGAACCTTTTATGATATATGTTGAAAAAATAAGAATAATTTTCCCATCCAATGAATGAAATGTACGACCCTAGAAGATGTTTGCTATATAGAAACCTATCATCCCAAACATGCCATGTACAATTTTTGTTGAATGTATTCAAGTCCCAGAGTATATTATTTTCTTGATAAGGATTAATATGATTGCTTGTTGAGATCGATTTTTCTTGTATTTCCTTTTCTGTTCTGCGTTCAAGTCGATACAGACATTTTAATAAAGATGGACAAAATATAGAAAAATAATTCTCAGCAATTTTACATACATGATAACGAAGATTTGTTTCAAATAATTCATAAGCACTGAGAATAAACATGATGAACCAATAGATTTGATCGATTATTGTACGATTTCTAAAATCATATTCTTCTTTTGCCAGAGCAATAGCAAATCGAACAGCCATGTCTTTAGCATCAGATGATTTATAAATCAATTGATATGTACCTAATGTATCACCGCATTCCAAATTCCAAAAGAAACTCGAATCAATTTCTTCGAGAGTTGGACATCTTACGGGTTCGATACCAATAAAATCCAAAAGAGCAATAATAGCCAAAATATTATAATTTTTAGGTAGATCAATAAATATTTGTCGTACCGAATGAAATGAAATTGACTCAAGTACAAACTGAAAATCTTCGTAGTTGATGCGAGAATCGAGTAAATAATATCCTTCATTGATTTTGATTGAATCAAAATAAGGTCCAGCTGAGACCAGTGCAGTTAAATAAGGAATTTTTTCAATTTGACACTCATTCAATGTTAAAAGTTGACCTGAATTAAAACGAAATGTTTTAGTTGTTGTTGATGACTCATCAATACGATTGTTCATTGAACAATTATTGTCAAATCTCGAGAGTAATACTACTTGATTATTGTTTTAATCGTAAATAAATATTTCAAATTGATGAAATGAATTCAAAAACAAAACAAGTATAAAGGCACTGTCGGATAGATTTCACTTGCAAATAACAATACAAGATGATTCTTTTATTCGAATGAGTTTAAGATGAAAATAAAACTTGCTCTCATATTTATATAAGTGCGCAATAAATGATTCATTGTGTTCCGTATTTTTTCTTTTGAGAGAGAAGTTGGAAATATCCAAGTGAAATCAACTTCTATGTTTTTTTTCCAACCCTTTCAGTTCTTGTCATTTGGATTTCCAACTTCTGTAATTATATAAGTTGCTATTAGTTAGAATTGTACAGATACAATGTTTGAGCATACAATAGTATATTACCTAGTTAATCGAAACGAAATAGCTCTTCTAATTAGATGGATGTTGTTATATATATATATCTTTCTGATAAGCATAAGAAAATTTTTCTATATTAATTTTATTGTTTTTATTTTTTATTTGATAGTGACCCGAAAAGTGACTCATTCTTATATTATGGGAGTCTGTATCGTTATACATGACGAAAACGAACAGAGAAGTGAAGAAAAGAAGAAAAACTATTACTCATTATCTTTTTATGAATCATAAGAAGATTGATATACGTGATAGCACTTTTTTCTGCTGTACGTGTATATCCTAGGTTCTTATGTTTGCAAAACTTAAATGATTGTTTTCTATTTGATTGTCTATTTGTGACGTTGAAAGAATACAAAAAAAAGTCTTGTGAAGTTCCAGTTTTTTTTTCGATAGATAAATCTTCCTGAAAGCACAACAAAACATTGGATTGATTATAAAGAATCGATCACTCAGGATTTTGCATCACATTTTTCAACTATTCCATTGATTGCAACTCAATTTCGACTTTCTTACCCTGTTGATCATTATTAAAGAGCAAACTCGATTGTGTTCTATACTTTTAGGGAGTATTGTGTAATTCACGTACTTTAAAAGAATACATAACAGAGACCGAAACCGAATTGAACTTTGGTCAATCGTTTCGGTCTCTGGACTGTTTATCGATAAATAGATCTTAAAGTCATGGGTATTTTCATCTCTGATTTTATCTAAATTGAAATTTATTGTTATCTTGTTGAATTTCAAGATATTCTAGGTATGATTACAGAGATAAGTATGCAACAAACATACACAAAACACGATTCATTGAAAGACATTAAACTTAATCATTAAATATATCAAGTTACAGTAAATAGAGATCAATGAAGAGTTAATCGTTGATGCTTTGCTTATTGTCACCCAAACATCACCAAGTGACACATTTGGACTTTGTAACCAAAAACTCAGTGTATACTTGTTCCCCATGACAACATCAACGTTTTGTGATAGTGTTATGCGAGCGGATAGCGTTATGCTAGAGGATAGTGTTGACACGGTACATGAGCGATTGCCACTTCGTGTGAAGTTATTTGATCCGTTGTTCAGATTGAGTGAGCCACAAACACAATATTCGTTCAACATACCAGTTTCGAAGCCTCCATTCTGCAACACTTCTCTATTTGATGATGTTTCACTTATTGATACATCGTCTAGATACCAAAATCCCCCTGTATAGAATACAAAAATTAATATATGATGATTTGATGTAGCCGTAAATGTGTTTGAATAGAATCTGTATTGATATGAAGCACTGTAATCTCTAATGAAAATCAGTGGACGCTGTATTGGAACATCTATTGAACATGGTCCACCTATGAAAAGCAGAAAAACATGGTCATATTCATGTAATATTCTCTGATGAAATTCGGCACATTCAATAAATCTTTTTCAACGTTAACAAGTAAGCAGTCAAAAACTTTTAGTTTTTTTTTAAAAATAATTCGTTCACAATTTTGTTGATCAAGAGAACTTGAATATAGTTATGTAAGTCGGAAGAAAAAGTTTATATATTGACTAAATAAATTCCTTCTATTTAATCATGTCGTCTAATTGTGCTTAAGCGATAAGTTGAAGAAAACATTTTCTGAACAAAATTACCAGTGAAGTCAATATATGAGAATTGTGTACAAGAAGTTTGATTCATTCCGTAGGACTACTTTAAGAATTACCTAAGATTAAAAAGTGAATAAAAGGGCAAATACTTCATTCACAGTCTCAACGATAGACGAGAAATCTGTTTTTGTCTGAGTTAATTGAATAGTTATGTTTCAAACATTGACGAGCCACCAGCTGCTCATGTAAAAGAAAGCTGTATATAACTGTTCGATCTATCTATAGACATATTCGCAGTTCGACATGCAATCATTCGATTTTTTAGAAAATTTTGTGACCATAAAACAAAGATTGAGTAAAAATGGTTTATAATTTGACAACTAAAATTCAAACATTTGTAAATAAAAAGTTTTCAGTTGCCATAAAAATTTGACGAACGAACATAGCTGCTGATAAAGAACAATTTTATGCCAAAATAGGTTTCCTCATCTAAATGATCTCTGAACAATAAAAATATCGAGAAATCATTTGATTTCGCATATTTCTAATGAAGTCTACCATTAAAAGTTGAAATTTTACAACATATACTTCATAATTTCATTTTATGAACTGTGCAAAGTATAACTGAATAAGTTCATGTACAATCTGCGGTATTGGATTTGGAACAGAGTGGCATCAAGTACAAATACAATGTTGTTCCTAGACCTGAATTGCGGACGTATAATAAAAATGATTAATTGGGATGCTCTAGGTATTGGTTTCTTTTAGGACAACCTGTACATTGCTTACTAGAAAAAATAATTCCTTGCCCAATTGAAAAAAAAACAAGCAAAAACTTCTGGAGGCTGACATTTTTCTACAAATCGTCAGAAAAATGTCGATGAGCTGTATCCTGTTGGTCAATAACAGAACTGCCCTGCACGTTTACAACATGTAGAGATCATCAAGCTTTATCACCTAGATAAGTTGACATATGTCAAGAGGAGAAAAAAATGATCTTCTGATGACCCATCAATGTTTGAGTTTCTTGAGGAAGGCTTTTATCAGATCATTGAGCAATGGATTCAACTGTAAAAATTTATTTTCTTGATTTAATATGTACATCCGAATCAGCAATATCGAAAACCTTCCTTCTCTAAATTTTAGTGCATTTAATTGAATTGATAAAAAGTTAGTCT